TTTTTGCCGGAAGATTCCCCAGCGGAAACATCTTAGCACTCACACATGAAATTTGAGCTTACTTAAAAGCTAAATCTGAAATTTTCAACGACACACATAAGCAAGTAATATCCTCCTAAAACTTCAGCTTTCTGGTTTTTCCGCTCCTCGCGTTGGCGATTTCCGCGCCAAAACTTTCGCACGTCCCCATGTGAGAATTAGGCGTACGTGGGCGCTGTACTTAAATTTGTGAGATCGCAAATGGGCATAAAGCATTCCCCCACAACTTCAGCTTCCTAGCTTTTTTAGTTTTTGAGTTGAAAACCCGTGACGAAACACACACACACACGCACACACACACGCGCACACACACAAAAAAAACATACACAGGATAGAGCAGTGACAATATGCGTTTTGTGCAACTGTTACAGCATAAAGCACTTAAAACAGTGACTTTGCACGAAGTTATGCGAATGGAAAAAAAAAACATTTTTATCAACAAAAACTGATAAGCCCACACATATAACACACGCACAAACACACGAACTACTATGCGAGTCAAGATAACTCATTCACAAATTTCGTGGCGTGAGCCTTCGCTTAAGAAAGCGAGAATAATCGAAACTACAAAAAAATCTGAAATAAATGGAGATAAATAAGCAAGGACTCCACTTGTGGCTGCATGATAAGGACTCATCTTGTGGCTACTGGAACTACACAGACCCTAAAATATTCTGAGATTCAAAAAATCAAAGAAAAGAAACCATTCAAAAAATCAAAGAAAAGAAATTAACGGCGGTAATGTCCTAGATTTTCGATGAAAAAAGGCGTTTTCCCTGCGCCCCATGCTGATTTTGCGTCCAGTTTGCTTGAAAACAACACTTTTTCAGTGATTTTACCGCAATTTATCACTTACTGACTTATTTTTTTCGCCATTCTAAGTGACTTTTCCGCTTAGGAGCCACTCTGTTGTTACTTCACTTAAATTCCACGGCTCTTTAGTTCAAGATCCAAGTCTTCCAGGCCTAATTTCGTGTTTTTTTCACCAACTTCACCATCCTATTCCAAAAGATTGGTGCGATTTTCGATTTATTTTGCGTCAACCGACTAAAATTTTCGCTTCTTTCTTCCTGTGCAGTCAATGTGTCGTCAAAAAAACAGAAGCAGTCCCACCAACAAAGTTTTTCCAAAGGCTGAGAATAATAAACGGAATGCACCACAAGTGGTTCCCATAAAAAAACGAAAAAAAAAAAAAAACCATTTAAAAGCGCCCATATAACAATACTATGGAAACATCGCACCATGGACATACACTTTTGTTCGCTATTGTTCTTCTTCCTTCCAAGAAAATTTCTATTTCAGAAACAGCCAAAGAATCGGAACCGTAACAAAAACTGGCACTGAATTTCTGGTAAAATTTAAATTTATGCTTAAAAAAAGGATGTTTCTTACATGGCTGGGATAAGGGAAACATCAAGATATTTGCAGGTCAGCGGGAGTATTTTTCACATTGAAATACATTCCTCGTATTAGAAAGTTTACAGTTTCTCTACCATCGTTTCTTGTAATCATCAACGGAGACACCACCGGGACCATAGGCTACAAGAAGCAGCAGGCCACCGATGACGGACATCGTTTGGAAGAAGTCATATTTCATGAAATCGCGATAGAAGCGATCCGATGGCACCGTCCACCAAGCATTCAGATAGAGATTCAGACCGAAGAGCCACACAACGAGCACAAATGCGGAAAGCTGAAAATAATCAACAGCCAATAATATCAGAAAAATAAAAACTCTAGAAAATTTTAGAGTCAGGAAAGTAATTAAAATAATGTTAAAAGTATTTAGAAAAACGCAAAATAATGCCTTAACAGTGGTAATTTTACAGATGACAGATTAGGCAAAAACAAAACGGCCAATTTGAATCTAGAAAATTTAAAAGAAGACAGATTTTTGAATAAGAAAATTTTGGTCCATTAAATCGCATACATTTTTTTCGTCTCTACGACTAGACCTCATCAGTACGACGGCTGTAGAGAAAGAGTAAGTCCAGAAAAGAAGTTTAAGTAACTGTCGTTATGCCGCACTTACTTAAACTTCTTTTTTAGACTTTTTCTTTCTCTTTTCTACAGCCGTCGTACTGATTTTGTTACAACAAAGCATCTTAAGACGGTCTTTGAAAAAATAAAAACCTTCGTTTTATAGCCGACAAGAACCAGCGACATCAGTGCTCCTCCAACTACCATTTCGATAATTTGCACAAAGTTCCATACGAAATGTACAAGCGACAAAAACATGAATATGAGGAATATGCGGCCTTAAACGAGAAAAATCTCTGTTAAAATTAATTTCTTCCATGCAAATACGTTTCCAGAAAATGAAAAAACTAAGCGAACAGCCAAAAAAAAAAAGGTAAAGACAAGTGATACCGGTAAGAAGCATTGCGGATTTGCCACGATTCATGTCGCCAACTTGCGGAACACCAGCAAACAAGCTTTTTTTCTCCTCCTGGGTTTCGGCAAAAAGAAGCAGCAGGCCACC